TTGCTGTTCTAACCTTCCACAGCGTTGTTGGTGCGGGGAAGGTCGTTTTTTACTCTTTGATGCCAACTCCATTGCTCCATATCAAATCTGGGCTTCTGTCGTCCTTGAGAAGTCAGTCTATCAATATATGCGTCAGTCAGTCTATCAATAGTAAGTCTAATCCAGGTAATGTGGCAAACACAATAACCCGATTTTCATCTTGGGGACCAGAATCATGAAAAAGGAACTGCTCTCCATTGTTGGTTTTCTGTTGAGCCAGTGGTAGTTCAAAGCCAGTCAGTGATGTTGGCTCTGCCATCTTTGGTCGTTTTTCGCGTCGAACTCTATTTACAGCTTGCTGATTAGCAGAATAACTAGGTAATTGAACAGCTGTTTCTCGGTTCACAGCACGTTGGGCTGCGAAAACAGTCTGTCGCGGTGTTACATCGGATACTGCTGCTCTATCTTTAAGTGTTTTTCTGAACTTACGTTTTTCGATGTCAGCTGGATCGGGGAAGTGGCAGTGATCTTTAACGATCTCAACGGAGTCGTCCTTTGTACGCACACGGCCATTGCAACTACTTTGTCCGCAGCGCCAGGAAAGGGAGTTGTCTGCCAGTGTTCTGTGTTTAATATAAGCATACCCTTCAAAAATCAGTAACTCTAAATTTTTGTTTGTAAGTATGATTTCCATCGATAGATAGTGAATTTCGTTTCTATTGAGTGTTGTCAAGTATTTGCAAATGAAACAGATTGAACAACCTGTCTCTTTTTGCTTGGATTAAAAAAAGAGTCCATTTTTTTTAAATTGCGTTAACTTTAATGTTTCGAATATTATAGCTTTTATTGAGTGGCCGCTGCTGTTATCTAGGTTGTTCTAATTTCTCTACTATACTACCTATTGTTATCCGGATTAGTTGGAATCAAAATGTGTTTAATATGAGATAAATTTACTTATCAGCTTCTAGAACAATTGTCACTTCGATCAATGGGACTCTTTTTTGGACTATTTTCGGACTATTTTTGGGACTGTTTTGTATGGGACTGTTTTTTTGTACTTTGCTATGTTTTTTCGGACTGTTTTGTATTGGACTGTTTTGTATGGGACTGTTTTGTACAGACACGAAACGTTCAATACGTCAAACATCCGAAAAATACAAAAAGTCATGCAAACATCCAAAAAAAAGTTTTACTTGAGAAAACAACTGACTTTTTTTAAAAGTGCTTACAAGATGCTGTATCGGCTGAATCAAGAACTTTGCTGTCAGGTCCCGCAGTGACAAAAAAGGATACAAATCGATTATATACTGAAAAATCTGCAGAGTAACATAAGTATACAATCACTTTGTTTACAACCATTTTGCAAACGATAATCAATTCTGTACAGATCGAATCCAATTTCTTACACCAAAAACAAATGGATTTTAGTACCAAAATAATCGATTTTTCTATTGTGTAAAACCTGAGTATATACTTTGTAGATAACCTGCATATAGTCAGTATATAACCTTTATTAAAAAAACCTGTAGGTAATCTGTAGAAAATCTATAGATAATATGTAGATAAACTGTAAAAAATTTGTATATAATCTGTTTTAAATCTGCATCAAATTGATTATATTGCCTAAAAACTATAGAGGTCGTAAAAATTTCATTTATGACCATTCAAAAATTAAATTAATGATTATTTTTGACAAATTGATCAAAAAATTGCAATCAAGGAAGTAGTTTTTACTCAGTTTTATAGTGAGCTGAACTCACTTGAGGAGAATTCGGTTCCGCAAATTACAAGCTTTAAATCATCACTAAAACATTTTGCAATCTAGGTTTTCCGCTGTAAGAGAAGTAATTTTGTGCAAAACTTCTTCAAATGCCATTTAAAAGATCAACCTGTTCAGCGCAATTTTGCAAGAAACACATCAAGAAAAGATACAAAAATTAACATACAGCAATTTATTTTTTGCTGCAACTTATTTACACAATAAGGAATTTATTTTTTTTTTCAGATCAGACATCATTACAAAAATTTCGAAAAAAGCCTACATTATAGTTTTATTCCAATAAACTCATTCTAGCTGATTGGCGAGATTGTTGAAAAAATCAGTCTTTAGTCTGTATATAATATGTATATAGTCTGTATATAATTAGTATACGTTTTTTATAGATAATTGAAGATATACTGTATATAAATTCTTTTGCAAAACAAAATGCATTATAAGCGATTATTAAAACTAAATAATCGAAGTTTTACTATATAAAAAACAACAGATCAGAAATATATACAATTTCTATTGATAATCGATTTTAATCCATTTTCCTTCAGCAGGGTCTTTTTTTCAGGCAAATTTAGCAAGAACGAATAAAATTTTTCTTATATATCATATTGAGATGTTTTCAGTCGAGTGCTTGACCTGCAAACAAAAAGATTGAGAACTTTTCCAAGAAAAGAGCTTGCTTACAATTGAAATTACACCAAATGATTCTAATTTGAAGCTTAACGGACATATAGTAGACTAAAGAGATGCAAAACAAAACGCAGTTTGTGCGCGCTTTTTTTGAGCGGTTGCGTGGCCGTATTTTTCCCAAGGTAAGATCAGGCTCGCTCCCCACAAAAAAAAGAGAGAACGTTGATACAAAATCAGAAAAAATGATTGACCATGTGGTCAAAAATTTTGTGCAAATTGCTCAGCAAAACCTTTATTAATGCAAGGTTGTTTTCTGTTCGAATTTTCAAATCCTTAAAATGACCCAAACGGTATTGAGATACGCAAACATAGCAGTTCAAGACAAAAAATTGAGGGAAAATTTAAAAAAGATTCTAAAGATAGCTAGACTTCCCTTTATTTATATTGTGACCAAGGATAACCGTTTGCTGGGAAAGTAACCCGATTCCAGATCAATGATTTACAAAAAAAAATCTGTTTTTAAAAAAGAAGAAAAAATTCCACTTTCTTTTTCAAAAAATTCTTTTTTTCTATTTATTTTTTCATTTTTTCTCATTTTCATTTTAGTTTTAATCAAATAAAGGGTGACAAAACTAGTCATCATCAAAATTGAGTTGGGTCAAAAAACTATGGTTAGAAAAACGAAATTTTCGGACCATAGTTTTTGAACATCGAGGCAATGTTTCTGAAAATTACAAGCCTTCTTTGATGTAGCGGAAAATTTTATGCCATAGTTTTTGATGTAGCGGAAAATTTTATGCCATAGTTTGTCACAATTTCTATATTAATCGAATCAATTAGGGTTTAGAACCAATGTGCAAGCTGTGTTGTTGCCTATTGAGAACTGCTGATGCTCTTTTATTGATATTTACAAGATAATCGCATGTTAAATAAATAACAGGGATGGCCGGTTATTGTGCAAGTAGCACAGAATGTTCCGACCATAGTCATAAAAAATAATGAATAGAAAGTTTTTTTCAAATTAGTGTTGTTTTTTTTCGTGGTGAGACAAAAACTCCAAAAGAAACATAAAACTTCGGCATATTCAACCTTCATAGTAAAATAGGATAATTAGAAGACAGTTATTGTATAAGAATGACTAGAAAAACGAAAAAAAAAGTTGAAAATATTTGTTTTTAAAAATTTTTCGCAGAAAGTTTTTGAAACTTCGAATTTTTTGATTTGCAAACTGGCGCAAAATTTTAACTTTATTCGAGTTAAATTAAGTTTTCACAGCTTAAATAAGGCATAAATTAGCTTTTATAAGCCTGCTTATCCTGACTTTGTTAGCTTGAAATTGAACCAAAAATCAAAAATTTCAAACTGGTTTTACATAACTGAGATCAATTTTTCGAAATTTTTTGATGTCGTTCGAATCACGACTTAAATGGCTTTAAAATGATATATTATTCGAACCCTTCCGATGACTATTTTTTGTGCCTGGTTTTGCTTGAAAAAAAAAACAAAAAACAAACTAAAACACACCGAATACAAAGTTCCTCCACATTTTTTACAAGGCCATAACAACAAAACAAAAAAGCCTAGCCCTCAAAAATTAACACATACCGAAATATTTATCAAGCTACCATTGTCTTACTGGACCTCTCATGATGTACGCAGTTCTCCACCTTTAATTTTTTTTATTTATGGGTATCAGTCGAATAGTCGGGGGTTCGAAACCACCGTCATCTAAACAGTAACCCAATTAATTTTGTTCAGCAACCCAATTATTTTTGTTCAGATTACCCTTCTCTCAATTTTGAAAAGAAAATTCAAATTACCAAAAAAACATTAGTTTAATGATACCATTAATAATTACCATATTATCCCGAGCGCTAATTCGATTACATGCTGTTCGCCTCATTGGATTCGTGTCAAACACAAAAAAAAACACGCAAAAAAGCCCTACGAACGCCGCATTAATTCGCCATTTCAAACCTATTCAAACAGTAAATTTTAAGTCATGACTCAGTTCGTTTCCTATTGTATTTCAGTAAAAAAAACTAAGCCGTCAAGTTTTTTTTCAGCTGCGTGTTAGCTATCGCCATCAGCAAGTGTTCAGTCAAAAGTTCATTTTCATTTCAAAAACGCTATTTTAAAATCATTTCCCAACTACTTACCGGAAAAACTCATTAATCAATTCAAAATCCGCCATTTCATCCATTAAGTTGATTACAGAGTCTAAATTAAAATTGCTTGTTCGTTTTACGCACACAACCTGAGGGGATGAAAAAACTCCAAATAAATACTACATAAAACTATTTACGACCGTAATCTGTATACGTTCTGGTAGCTCTGTCGAATGCGTTTGTTTTTTTTTGCAAATTTATTTTGAACGTTATCCCATTTCGTAATAAACTTTGAGGTAATAAATAATTATTATTGATCCCAGAGGTTATTAAGGTGTTTCAATGGCTATAAAAATCCTAAACCATCTCTTTTTCTTTGCACCAGAAGGGAAAAATGGCAAAGAATAGTTCAAATTCTCCACAATAACATAAATTTGTTTCTTAAAATGCCTCAAGGGAGTTTTTCACGTTAGCAAAATTCTCTCGTGTTTTTCAATTTTCAACTTTTTACGAGTGTCAATAAACGGACACGCCTACAAAAACAAAAAAGACCATTTGAAAAACACTTTCACCAATTTTCAGCTGCTGATCTGATACCTTTAAGAGTACCCACACCCTGTTACCTTCTGAAGTATCGTCTGGCTTGAAAAAACGTTTAGATAGATTTTTCATGGAGGCAGTTATTTAATTGGGGCTTATCACTTACTGACTGCCTTTTTCAAAAACGGAACTTAGTTTTCGATTTTGAAGGTGACTTCTGTGTTTATTATCAAAACCAATCAGTTATTTTAAGACACTTTGCCTCATTTAGTTTTATTGTTACGCAATTACCCCATTGAATTTTCTTTCTAAGATATAGTTTACGGGGCGAACTTGTCTGTTAAATCAATTCACCATGTCTTTCTCCGCGTCTTACACTTCTCTCAATTTTCCGAAGAGTCTTTTCGGCGCGAAAGAGATGAGCGAAACAAAAACCGAAAATAAACCTTACTACAGCAGTTTGTTGATTCGGATCGGTGGCGGTGGGGGAATTGGAGGGATGTTTGGGGGGAGTGGTAGTGCAGGGGCACGTGACTCATCAGCTGACCAATCAAGTATCAGTGTGGCATCGTCTCATGACCAGGTGTGCTCCGTCTCGTCCAATCAGGAACAACTGTCAGCGCCATCTACCACCCAATATAGAAAGTACAAGCGACACTCAGGTGAATCCGATTCAGACTTGCAGTATGCGGTGCCTCGACGCAAAGCCTCAAAAACGAACCACATTAACTTTTTTTTCATTTTGTAAAGTTAATAAAAAACATGCTACCCGCTATGAAAAAATTCTACAATATTACTACAAATTTTTCTGTGGACGCAACTAATTTTGTAGGATTGGAGATTTCGGAAGTATTGAAATCACTATGTTCCCGGGTCGAAATTTTTTGTTCATACTATTCCATAAAGGGACAGATTTTTTAAATAATTTTAGTGCGATTGTTCTTCAGTTTTTAAACCAAAAGAACACGCAATTGAGGCCATTTTGAGCCCAACTTCAGACAACAGGACTCCTTCATCCCTTTCCATGGGAAAATGGGGACCAATAAAGGGACCAAATTGCTAATATTTATCCGCATTGATCGCCATCCAAGGCGAACTCAGGGCCAAAATATAGACCCAGTATTTAAACTTTTTGATGGTTTTGCTCATAAATTTAAGCAAAAAGACGTTGACCTGGAAAAATCCCCCATTTGAATGATTCATTATGCAACAGTCACTCGAGGAGAGTTTTTTACGGCCAAATGTAAGTTTCAAGCATAATTCTTTCAAATTTTTAACCTACGGAAACCCACGGAAGAATATAGTCTATTCAAGGACAACTTTTACATATTTCGAGTTCATGTAATACTCTTGTAGCACCTTTTAAAAAACTAATTCATCTCTGTCAATCCAGTTTATAGTTAATTGATCGATCAGTTTTAGTTATGATATGTTTTTTTTTCCGGTGACAATTGACTTTTTTCTGGTAATGCATCGTCGCGATTATCAGGTTGAAATAACTTCGATCTTTCCTTTCAAAATGAAAAGTTTTTAGGGCATTATACAGCCATAAAAAGTCATTGCACTGCAACGTCTAAGCCTCATTATAAAAAACCGAAAAGATCAAACTGAGTGATCAAACTTTGGTTATTTCAAAATTTTTAAAATCGCTCGCCAAAGAAAGCATCTTCTTAAATTATGAGATTCAACAGAAAATTTATTGAGTCTGCATTTACACGATTCCATAAGAAAAAGCAATGATAGCCGGTTACTGTGCAAGTAGAACAGAATATTCCGGCCATAGTCTTAAACAAAATACAAAAGAAAAGTTTTTTTTCCAAATTAGTTAAGTTTACTTCGGCCTGGTGTGATGAAAGGAGCTGACCGAAAAAATGGAACCAATCATTAGGCGTTTTTGTCAGTTATAGTGATACAGGCAAATTGAACAACAGTTTTCTAGAAAAATGACTAAAAAAAGAACAAAAGAAATCCTATAAAATTCGAAAATCCTTTAATTAGGCATAAGCAAATTATTGTAAGCATGCACGCTCTCCTGATTAGCTTGATATTAGACCAAAAATCAAAAATGTCAAACTGGTTTTTCTCGACAATAAGAAAAGTTTTTCCAAATTCTTAAAAATAGTTCGGATCATGGCCAAAAGTTCTTTAGTATGATATATCATCACTCAAACCCTTCACATGATGTTTTGTGGTACCTGGTTTTGTGTAGACAAAAAAAAGAAAAAGAAAAAAAACTAAACACACCCGATTACAAAGTTCTTCCACATGTTTCAAATGATCGAAAAAATTATCGAATGAAAAAAATTAGATTTGCTTTTTTCCACTATTGGATTTTTGTGGTTAGCACTTTTTCACAAAATCAATTGTTACGTCTCCATTCTTTCCTCAAAATGAAAAAAAAAACAGGTGAGTTTCGCTTTGCAATTTCGTTTTTGACTAATAACTCAATGGCAAAGACTTTTGGAAGCAGAAAACCCACAAAAATTCCCCAAAAATTTCACAGGATTTTTTAGATTGTAAAACTGCCTTGCAGGTTAAGCAGAAACAAAAACGTAACCGTTTGCTCATGGATAGACATCTTCCACCGTGGCTATACATCTTCCAGTGGGTTCGTTTTTGACAATTAAAAATTTATGATACCATGCAAAATCATGCAAGTGTGCTTAGACAAAAGTTACAAAAATATATGCGCATCAAACATTTTTCTAGAAATGTTTGCCTGAGCATAATAAAAATTTTGCGATCAAAATAAACAACCAAAACCTTTCATCGTCTTAATGTATTTTAAGCAGCCAATCTTTTGAATTAACTTAAAAGTTTGCCTACATCACAGTTTCCATAAATTGCAATTGTAGTCCAAACATTTTTGACACTTTCAAAAATGATACAGCTATCTCATCAAAACGCAGCTTGTCGGATATTTCGATTTTGTAATTTGATGTTTTTTATAATGTGGAATCGAAAGTATTCAGGAAAAAAGCGCTTTCCATTCTGTTTTCCTAAACGGAAATGATTTGATAAGCAATTTTTCCTAAAAACTCTTTGCGTGGAAATGTTTGATAACAGTTTTTAGGTTATGCAGGTAATACGAGGTTATCTCGGTCATTTTTTCATGAACAATTTTTGGCCAGTTTTGAAAATGGTAAATATCTGAAATTTAACAATGTTCAAAATGATATACAAATTGCAAATGAAGCCATTTTTACGATGAGATGCAGTCATGGACATGAAAGTTGCATTTTTTTGTTTTTAAGCAATGAACTGAACGAAAACTTTTGTTTCTGATGTTTTCTCTACAACTACAAAAGATTCAGGTTTGAAAACTTGTTGTGTGATGGATGAAACTGTTCATTAGAAAAAACCTGAGTAAAAAATCTTAGAAAAAAAATTTCAATGTTTCATATAGCTATTTAACCATACTGCATAAGAGAAGTTTTCTTAGAGCCAAAAACTTCCAAAAACGGCGGAGGCAGTTTGAATTGTTCAAATGGAAAGTATTTGTAAGAAAATTAGGATCTAAGCTAGGCCTTGGTTTAGTTTTTACCTTTTTTAGAAAGAAAAAACAAAAAATTGCTCGGATAAAAAATAAAACTGCTCAAAATTTTTGACGTACGTTTTACTAAATAAATTGCTGAATTTTAAGTCAACTACTGTTAAAAAACTTGAGAAAACATTTGGTTCAATTTTACTTAAAACAAAAATCTACATGAGATGAGGGCCTAGTTCTCAAACTAATTATTTTCAGTTTAGTAATAATCAGTAACTGAAAAATGCTTTCCAGCCAATGAAACTAAGTTGCAATAATGAAATTGCTTCTGCTGTTTTAGGAGTTGTTTTGGCGCTCTCCAGAGACCAGCTCTCTAACGCCCTCTGATTAAATCGCCAAATGAGGCCATAAAAAAAACAACTTTTTTACAAGTTTCATATCCGGCTATGTTCTAATGAACAGTTTGTACTATCATATGTCAAAATTTCAACCGCGATGCTCTAGTAGTTGTAGACAAAACGCTTTCTTTTGTCAGTTTCTGTAACAACTGGGTAAAATTTGCTTTCTAACCTCAGTCTCTGTAACAATCGAGTAAAATTGATCGTTATAGATTAATTTGGGTTAAAAATTTTACCAAACTCATTGCATCTGGATGAAAAAAGAATAAAAACCTAGAGTGAAGCGGCAACTTGCTGTGTTTGTCAAAGCAACAACTCGTCCCAGAGCAATTTTTAAATTTAATCGAGCAATTAGCTCGTTATGTTATGATCGATAAAAAAAATTCCGAAAACTATCTATTGTCTGAGTTATTTACCGAGAAATATTTCTTAATTTGCAGATTTGGATTCATTTATTTTCGTTTGGAGATTAGAGAGGCCACATTTTGGCGCCCCACAAGGGACCATGGGTGATTGAGCCCGATAGTCCACGTGGGTACTACCCCCTCGCCCGAACCGTCAAGATAAACTACGGACAGGACGGTTGCGTTACACGTTGGGCTAACAGTTGTCAAATTAGAAAAAACGTTTCCAGCATTACAACACTCAACAAGCGTGATGATTGGAGTTGTAGCGGCCTCTCGCCCTAAGTTTGCATCTCTTGTATAGTAACCGTTGATATTAGGTGACACAGTATGCGGTACAAAGGGAACATACTATTGCGTCTGTACTGGCGGTGCTGGTGATCTACCGATCTACCTCAGAATCGAAACGAGGTAGAAATATGGTCCGGGTTGGCGGACCATATTTCTGCCTCGTTTCGTTTCTGAGGTGGATCGGTTTCGGGTAGCTGGTTGATTGACAATATTTCACTTCATACGTAAATTAACCGTAATTATCGGAAATTATCAGTCAACAAAGAATATCGAACTAGATAAATTTCGGTATTTAAAAGCTGAATTCAATGCCTTAAAATACGTAGATGAGAACATTAAACAGTCAACTTCAAAACAGCGCCTGAGCATTTTGCGAATTTTGTTTCGATCTCTCAGTTTTTGATCTTTTATCACACACGGTGCATCGTTCACCAGAAAATTCATTAGTTACGACCTTGGTTTTTTCTCGCTTTGAATTCTGGCGGGAAACCGTAATTAATAGCGCATTTAGCTAGAAATGCACAACAACCATGCCTCAGCAAGTGTGGGACTCGATATGGAATGTTTTGCGGAAATTTTAGGCATAGAATTTTTTAAATTGGCTTGCCATCAATTGTTGCTTTTTTTATTTGTGACAAATTGTCGCCGTGCCAAAATTAAGCAGTACAGTAGGTTCCAACTAAACATATGTTCCAATAAACTTTTGTATGAAAATGATTTCTTTTTTCTTCTTTCTTTTTTTTTCTCAGTGTCTTTCTAGCGTTTTTTAGGGAGAGCAACTGAAAATAAGCTTTGAACCTTCTTAATGGCTGAAACAACTACAATTGTCTCAGCTAATGTTTTTCTCGTTTCTAAAATTCATCCAGATAAATAACCACTAAGTTACCTAAAACGGTCAAAAAATAAGCTTCAAATCCCCTCACTATTTGGATCAATTAACGTGTCTTAGATTATTTTGAACTTTGTGTTTAGCGCAATCAGTTCGTTCGCCGCATTTGCTCCGCAATTGTAAAAACAGAAAATTTTGCGCCCCTTAATTTTATCTCAAATTGGCAAAAACTAACAACTTTGAAACACGCCTAAACGACATAAAAATAATGAGAGTTGAGTTTTTTTAATTTGTTCTTAGAGGGCCTCGATGTCTTTCAGATGATATCAGATGGGGTGCCGGACGTCAAGCCGACGGGGTTTCAAGCAGAACGTTTTCTCAAAAAGTCATGTAACATGATTAAATTGAAGTTTTTTTGAAATTTTTTCAATTTCATGATATTTCTTTTCTATTTTTTTTGGCTTTTTAATAAAGCTTAAGCATCTTATTGATGTTTTGGAAAAATTAAAATATTCTTGAATGCGTTTTTCAAACTATAGCTTATGCATTTCAAAAACCTGCTAATTTAATTGGCGAATGGCACTCCTAAGAGTACATTGTCCTGAATAACGCTTATTATGGACTTAACTTGCCTAAATTTTGAAAGTGAACACTTAACAGTTGAAAATTTCTGTTTCGAGTTGCTTTAAAGTTAAAAATTTGCTCTGAAGTTTTTTCGGCTTGAAGTACCGTCAGCCTCTGGTTCCAAGAGATGATATAGAATGTTTTATCAGTCCCTGTTAATTACAAAGATCTGACTGAAAAATTAAATGTTCATTCAGACCCTTAAAAAGGTCTGAATAAAAAAATTACATGAACTCAAACATTTGGCCACTTTCTTCGAAAGTCGGAGCAAAAATGATAACAATGTTTTGTTTCAGCGGACGTGAGTAGGAGAGGAAGTGGGACTAGTGGCAGTGTGTATAGTGTAGGCAGTGGGGCTGGTGCCTACTCGTCCTCCTCCTCAGTCAAGAGGGGGTCCGTCAACTCCCTCTCTGCCCCTCCCTCTGCGTGTGGGAGTAACAGTGGGTACTACAGTGGTGGATACGGGTACCAGTTCAAGAGCGAATACGTCCGCAACGCCATCAACAAACAGCACTCCAAGTAAGACATAGAGTAACAGAAGACGTAGACATACATTGCGACTGTGAATTTTTAGTGAAAAATCGGTTCGACAATAGTAAATTCCGGAATCCAATTCAAAATATAACTAACTTAACCTTCCAAAGTATAGCACAAGAGTGAGAGCTAGAGGTCACACCAAAGGTGACAGACACGCCGTTGGCCAGTACCTGCAGGTATTTATTTAGCACTGATAGCATTACACATGATTGACGGTTGGAATATTTTACAGATGATGAATTGAAATAGCACTACACGACATTCCCTCTCTTGTAAAAGTTTGAAAAATTGTAAAATTTGTTGACTGAAATTGCACATATGTAAAGTTAACTGATGGTATCTTTTAAAGTACTCAATTGAAATGAAATGAACTATTGCTGCATCTAGAGTTTTAACAAACAAAAATACCGCCGACGGCGGTGAAAGAATTTTAGTTTTGAAAAGACATTTGAAAATACAACCAGCCCTTTCACTGGACTTCAATAAAGTTTTTGGACAGTATAAATTTCTATTTTACTATTTTCCTTGGTCCTTGGTCTTATAAAATCTGATCATAAATGTTGTGACTATGAGTTTTTGGTCTCAATGCGGATCGATTCAGGCTTATAAAATCTGATCATAAAACCACGACCTCGACCCGGGCGCCAAATGAATTCATAATACTGTTCACAGTACAGCTACTGGTTCTTTATCATCGTTCCAAAAAGAGTCAAAAAAGTTTTAAAAAAAGTGAAAAGAGCAGGGTTCTTTGCCATTAGCGACCCACAGTAAACTATATGTATACTTCTACAGCTAATTTACTAAAACTTGGACGATACAGAGAAGATTAATATGGCCACTGCGCAAGAATGAAACTCAAAACTATGAAGCGTTATGTTTTTTTTTACAATTAGCAGCGGCTTTGAATTAGCAGCAATTTTTTAAACAAAGTAGGGGTCACTACGTACAGCGAGTATCAGGAATTTTGCGTATGGGTTTGAACTTGTTTCATTTTAATGTAGCTCTATACCAAATACGTATACTATTGATACAGAGCTTGTACTATAGGTCATTAGCCTGTCTAGACAATGCCACATATCTTGCTGGTTTTTGTTTGTTCACACTTTCTCATTTATGAATTTGCCGCGTTTTGCAACCCAGATGGGTGCATTAGCTCATGCCCTCTCATTGTTTTATGATATTCATTTGCATATTTACCATAAACGATTGAGGAAAAATTATCCAAAATTTACCATTGAGGAAAAATTCTCCATCTTCATAAAGTGAAATACATTCAAAAATCCTACTTTGGTGAGCTATACTTTTTCTTCACAAGACTAGACTGTAGACTATGACCTAGTAAATATATATTATACATCTATCACAGTATGATTTTTGCATTATTGATGGGGGCTATTAATTATTGTGACCTATAATGGAAGCTTGGCCAATTTTTGCTTTACTTTTTCACTTTTCCTTGAAAGCAGAAAATAGAAAGCAGCTCATTTCATTCCTTGACGTTTAAGCTCATCAAAAAAAGTCAATATTTATCCTCATAATTTTTAACTATACATCTTGTTTTGTCTGCTAAGGTATTTTGCAATTCAAAACTTTTTAAAAGCACAATTCGTTTCATAAAAACCATCCGTCATTACCACTTAAACTGCATTACGAGGCCAAACTGTGCATTTAGTGCATTGTAAGCAAATTCCGCAACAAGGACGCTCCCTTTGCTCTTCTTTTGTTCTATACTTTCCTTTGATCTTTCCGACAAAGTTTTAACATGTTTAAAGACTTGTCTCTGGAATCCGGCAACATACAGACACAAAATTGTGCGCCTATCCAGTGCACAGTTTGGCCTCGTTTTGTGAACTAAAGATTTAAAATACATTTGCTTCATTGGTTTGCTGTGAGGTTAAAACGGTCTCAACCCCGCTAAAATGAGCTAATATTTTTGTCGGCGCGGCGTCGGCTAAAAAACGTCCGTGTTCCAAGGACTACAAGTTCAAGAACTACAAGGACTACAAGGGCTTGAGGTTGAAGCAACATTACCCAGCCCAGAAAAATAACCAAAAAAATTGCATGTAGTTCTTAAATAGGGGCACAACAGCGGTTCGCCGTGATGAGCTGTTCAGCTTTTGTGTTGGTCCTTTCCCCGTGGATAAATTGTCTTAATCTTAACAAGACCCCAGCATATTTAAAATTTTCAATACGGCTAGGGTCTGTTATGATTCGTCATTTGGAACCAACTTGATTTCAACGCAAAATCCATTGAAAAAATCCAGAAGAATTAGTTTGTTTTGAAATGAACTATTTGAAACCAAATCACAAGAGCGCATTATTATGATACTAAGCTGATCTCTTTCATCTTTTCTTTCAAGTTGTCAAAACAAGTTGGAAAAAACACCCTGTGAAAATGAGCATTCTCGTTTCGTGAAATGGTCAGAGCAATAAGAAACGTTGATCATCCGTCAAAATAAACACTGCTTCACAAAACAAACCTCTTACAAACCTAACGATAAAAATCTCTAAAAGAAAGAAGGATGTTTTTGGTATACACATGCAAAACATTCTTTTTTATGACCGAAAAACAATTGGAACAAACAAGGCTTCAAAAAATCAATCCAAAAATTTTTTTTAAAAAAGTGGCATTTTTTTTATTTCAACCAATAGGAAGCGAGTTTTTTCAAGTCAGCTCTCAGGTTACGATAAATGGAAATATGGGTCTTAAAAATTAAAATACCTATAAAAATTCTGGAAGTCAAGTGGTGGTTTTCTTCTATGGACGTCAACCCGGGAAGAAGAGAAAAGAGAGCAGTGATATAAGTTGAGAAGGTGTGGGGAGCGAGCGATTTTTTAAGACTTTCCGTCTCAATCTCGTGAGCTAAGTAAATATGTTTAGCGTATAATTCAATCGCGCAAACTCTGAAGTTTCCCATCAGCCAATTGAATCCGGGTTATTTTTGTTAAAAATTTAAGCGAGATTGGCTTTCATGTTTGAAATCACCCAGTTAGAAAAAAATCTTCATTTTAACTTTCAATTTTGTTTCGTTTTGTCCGGAAAATAAAAATTGGCATAATATTACCGAATATCTTGTGAAATAAGATTGCAAAAAACAACATCACAGACGTAGCCACGAGGGGAGCTCCAATTTAGGTAGTTTTTTTATGACTTTGGCAAAAAATGAATTTGAACAGAGATTCAATAAATTAGCGATAAACGAATAAACAATAAATAATAAAAAATAGTATCAAAAAATACTATAAATTTTTGTTAGATGGCACTCTTCCAGCGCAGAGAAAAAATAAATCAAGCAAATGCGTCGCCGATGTCCTACAACTTCAGCCCACATCATTTCACCTCTCTATTTGACCTCCTACTTTTTGTCACCTCGCTGCAGTTTCTATCCATCAATTGTCATTAAAGCACATTACAATTTACTTCCTTTGAAATATTCCGTGGTCTTATGCACTAAACGGCCCAAAATCAGCATTTCTACATCTTTCTTGAACTCTGAATAATATGGTTGAATCTGATTGGCTAATCAGACTCTCAAATTCAAACAACATGGTACGGCATTTCAATTAAAGCTCCAAGCAGATAAAATTGGCCGAAATGAACAAAATTATAGAACTTTAATTCTACTGAAGTCATTTTACGAAGTTATTTCGATCCGAGCAAAATTACCCAGGTTACTTGAAAAAAATAGACAAAGTTAAAAGTTTTGGTAATTTCGGCTATTATTTTATCTGCATGCAAGTTTTGATTGAATTGCCTCAAAATGTTGCTTGAATTTGAATGGCTTATATTATCCAGTCAGATTCGACTGCATAAGTTTTAGCTCATGATATAAAATTTTTGATTTTGGGCCGTTTTGTGCATAAGACCCATAATCCGACATCCTTTTTGTTCAGAAGCAAAATGTGGGTGAAAAATTCAACTGGTGCTACTACTTGCATTAGTGAGAAGTCATTGAATTAACCCCAGAACGAAATAACTCTCCAAACAAGTCATAAGAGGCCTATTAGGTTTTTTCAACGCTTTCTAGGCCGCTGAAAAGAGCAATTTAAAAAAATGTGCAATACAACTAAGCAGAATAATCGCGTCATTAAATTAATACTAAAGTTAGAAGGGAGACACGTGCTCGAAAGCAAAGAAAAAACCAGCAACAAAGATTGGGGGCTATCCTCGAAGGACCGAATGAGCGAAAAAACTCGTGAGCGAATGACCGAAAACAAAACAAGCCGAAAGTCAATTTTGAAAAAGAAGCAATTGCCATTCAATTAAAATGAATTAAATGACGCAATATTTTGCTTCTTTCATAACGAAACCCTTGAAATAAATTTCTTTTCTAATTCGGCGGCGGTCAGTGAAAATTTGAAAATTTTGCATATTTCTGCCGTTTGTATATTCGGCCAATATCAATATTCAGTACCAGGCAATGTTTTACTTTCTTTCCAATTTTCAGATTATTGAAATCTGATTGGTTGATGTTTGTTTTCGCGATTTAGGTCCTTCGCTTATGAGGGATTCCACCACAAGTATTTACCAAAAGGAGATATCACCCACAGGCAGGGCGCGAGAATATTTTAGGGTTCTCGACTTATTGCTATTTGCACGCTTTGGTTTACCTCCTCATAATTGCATTTTTTTTTTAATTAGTCTTTTATATTTTCACCTGGATGAAGACACTGACTTATTGTTCAACAATCACTAATCACCAATTCTTTTACATTTCAATTGGATTTGCATGATTTTAACCATTCAGCAAGATACAAATTCATGTCCAAAAACAATTTGAGAAAAACTTTAACATACTCATCGAATGAAAGCAAAATTTTCTTTTGATTTAGGTTTAATAGTACGTGAATGAAGTTTATTAAACTCCGAACAATGAGCAAAACAATGAAGGTCAATTTTTTTGAAAACGTGTTCTATGTTTCGGGCGCAAAAAAATCAAGAATAGCATTTATGCTACAAAAACAAATCAGGAAGTTTCCGAGCAAGAACTTTTTTATACCCACATACTAACTAAAAAAACCAAATGGTGGATATTCTCATTCAAGGATGACTTTTCATTTCATTTTTTAAAATGATGAAAGCGAGTCCAAAGCAAAATTGTTGTTTTTAATGCAGTTATTGGCCACTGAATCAAGGTCGTTAAAAAATTTTCTGGGTGTTGAAGAACTCTACAAACAACAGAATTTTTAGATTCAATGTATTCAATGGAAAACTAAAAGTCTTTTGCAGGCACTCAACAAATTTTTGGTCAATCAGTTGTTTTTGAGCTTTTTTTCTAGTGAAAATTGTTTAGAATTTGACAGCAACGATGAAATGCAATATTTTAGCTACCAGATTGTCACCTTGTTTTTTATTTTCAAATTTTTGGTTTTTTGACAAACTGGGGAAAAAATTTCCGCATTTGCGCCGATGACAAACTGATTTAAGCTTCAATTGAGCTGCCAAAAGAGTTTTTTATAAATCTGATAAATGTTTTCGCCAAAACTATCGATCAAATTTATCTTGGAGATCTAAAATTAATCCAAACAATTCACGAATCTTTGTTTGGGATAACATCATAGTTTTACTACACTTTGAACCATTTTGAATTATGGTTTTTCATTTTTATAATTCAAATCAAACCATTTTGAATTATGGTTTTTCAATTTTATAATTCAAATCAAAGTCTTACGAAAAATGGTCACAGATGAAACTTTTTGTGAATTTGAGCTCAGGACAACAATCTTTCAGATGGTATAAAACATTCCGTCAAAAAAGTCTTTTTTAGTTAAAAAGACGAAAGTTGAATTTATAAAAAAAATACAGCAAGAATAAATATTCCGCATTGCCTTCGAAAATCGAAACAAGGATCTCACTTTGTACTTAACTTTTTTTTTGAAATTATTAAAATTCTTTTTAATATACATTTTTTGAAAATGTTGTTGAATTTTTCTGACTGATACTGCTCCATAGACCTCAAAATTTAGTCGGAGGAACATTCAGGGCTTTGCTCTGATACAAACAATATTATCTGCTTTGCACTTCAATTAAAAAAATTGATATTTTATCGAATAGTTGAACCCTAGATTGTTGACCCTAGACGTTTTTTGTTGGATCTGGGTTGTTTTTTTTTCCAGCCAAGTGAACATGTAAACTTTTATATCTAAATCCATAAATCCTATTCATAATGCACGATGATAGTGCCTCCATATGTGAACACAGTAATATTTTTGGACTAGCAAAGCTGGATAGCATTAAAATGATATATGCAGGAAGTTATCCTTTCCTTTGATAATTTGATTAATTTGTTGATACCCGTCTGTAAACAATAGCCAGGAAAAGCAGCATGGATTAGCCTTGCCGGTCCCAAATATTCAAATTGGATGCTAATTTTTTTGCTTTGGGGTACGATTCAGTTTCTAATTTTACCCCTTTGTTGTTCACCGGAACTTTCTCAATTACACGCCCTTTTGTTCGACCCTCTTTCAAAAAAGTACTATCTAACTCTCTTTGGTATATTTGAGCTTTTGAAAATGATTAATTTGTAATAGCGTTTTCAGTTCAAAAACAGTTTGCATACCTAATTTTTCCCTTTTCGACCATTTTTCTCTCTTTTTTAAATTTTCTGAATGAGGCGAATTTTATGAATTCATATATGCTAATAATTCAATAGATGTCTTTTTGACGGCAGTAAGAACAAAACTAAGAGCTTCACGTGGAGTTTGCAATAAATTATTACGGCTGGTACTAATATTGCAAACTGGACTAATAAATTATTATAAATTCAAATTCAGTTTTCCAATTTCATCAGCCGGGGTTAATCCCCGCGGGAGGGCAAAAGGGAGAGATAATTTGAACTACGGTCTTGCAAGCATTATTCTTAGTTTGATTGACTACTTATACCTCTAGCGGTTGGTTTTCTCTTTCTTTCTTTTTCTGAAGTATTTGTACCACGCAGCTACATCGCTCCTTGTAACGAGAGACTATTACACCCCAAGTTACGTTTTAATTGTGCTAAAAATGATACTTTAGGCTGAGCAGAGCGGTCATTCGGCCGAGGACACAACCCTCAATCCCAAACCCACCCGAAGGCTGCAAACTCATTTTTTCACTTTATTTCATTTTCGTCAGCAGTTGTTAATGTTTGACGTTATTTTTCGCATCATAAAATTTATTAATCAAAATGGCTTAAATTATTAACTACGTTTTTCAAGCTCCAAGATGTGAACTTATCTAAGAGAAACCATCTCTTAAAAAATCCACCAATTCGAATAATAATTCATTTTTTTAAATGGTTATTTATAAGATAGGTATTTCTTTAGAACAGTCTGCTTAATAGACTAATTTTCAAACTACTCATACATAAAAAGTGCCCGGGGCTCTTTAGAAGACGCCAATCTCATTGATTACGATACCCCTACCTCGTGTAAAATCGAATTTTTCTTCCTCAGTCTACCTTACTATGCCATTAAAGAGGTAAATTGCCTCCTCAAACTGATAGTAAAACTGATACGTTTCAATTGATTTTTAAGCGGCGGAAGTGTGAACAGAATTCACAGAATGAACAGTAAAAACGACAAGTTGCAACTGCCGACAAACGACTCGTGTCGACGTTACTCGTTGCCGACAAACGAGTTAATCGAGGAGTATAAACAGAAACGACAGAGTGAGCGGGACAAATCTGTCAACGCCAGATACCGATCAGGCTCCATCGGCGCTTCCATTTTCAACCTACTTCGGCCAGCTGAAAATGCAGGCACGAATCGAAGTCGTGAAGACATTCGTCGTAGCAGTTGTATAAACATGCGGAACGAAGCGATGTATAAGTCGCCCAATTTGCAGCTCCCAAAAAAGGTGCCGAATCATCGGCGTAGGAATTCGGCTGGCAACAGCGGCGCCGCTCTCCGGGACGACAAGGAGCGAAGGGGGTCCTCGTGTCAGTTGCTGTCGAGCTTGGTTGATGTTTGTAGTGGAGGCGGCGGCCGAGAGAAGCGGCGGGGAAGTCGTGGGGGTGGCGGATCTTTAGGGGGGTCACAACGGGGCTCAGTGGCGGCTGAATTGATGGAATCGCTGCTGATTAGAACTGGGAGCAGCTGTGGGGTTAAAGCGGACACAGAAGATGCTGCATCAGGAGGGGGGAAGTCGACTCCCTGGTTCCAGAGTCTCATCATCTCCCAGCAGGACAGAGAAGAAAACAGAAGAAAGGTGAGTGCTAACATAAATCTACAGTTCTTCAAGTACTCGACATTTATACCGAAAAAAAACATAACCAACAAATTTCAAAAAACAAACGGGAACATTTTTGTTTGACTCTACGAGTGAATTACGGTCGTGTGTTTGCTACGTAAAATATACCTTCTGAGGTTTAATAACTCCACCGGGCTTTTTTTCTTCCATGAGCATCAAGTATATGGTGTAAGGAGTGGCATTACTAAGTTAAGTTTGATTACCAAATATTATTTTCATGGCCCAATTAGTCCGCATGCCAACTTTTGAGGCAATCACAATATGTGAACAAAAATTTTACTCGTAATTGAGGAAGGGAAGATCCTTTCACTGTCTTATCAGATCGAATACTTTCTTGGCAGACATCAGTTAAACTCACTTTTCCAAAGTAGGCAAAATGAGCTGGAGAAGCCGCTGCAATTGGTTAACAACGTTAAACAATAACAAAATTAGGTATGTCTCTGATTGCGTCTCTTTTTGGTCCAATTACACATCATAGACTTTTGGCAGACTGACCTGAAATTTTTTTTACTAAAGGCGCCGGGGAGCTCGCGCCGATGAAAAACCCATCAAAGACACGTGTAAGTTTTTTTAACTAATAAGGTTTCTTGTAGCGTTAAAAGTTGCTGAGAAAATCATTTTGGTCGATCCAATAAAACTAGATGAAATGTTTGAAGCTTAGGATAAAATATTCGAAATAGGATAAAACTTTGTAATTTTCGAAATTGAAATGAACAATTCTGAATCAGTTGTCGAGCAAAAATTAAAAAGAAAACTAGGTATAGGTTATTTACCAACTCTGTAACATTCGCCCAAATATCACACAGCGACGGAGCGTAGAAAAAGTACCTATTGACGACTGGCAGGCGTCAGTTACCTTAATTCTACTCGTTTTTCACCGTCTCGACCTTGCCAGTTGATTTTCTGGTCTGTTTAGGGCAAAGTAAAAAGTTACCATTTTTAGGCCATCAGTCAAACGACTTTTGATCAGCTTTCGTTTGCATGCGAACACAACCACATAGCTGAGTCTCGGATCCTCAGACTACGTGATTGTCATTAAAAACACGGCTCGAACAACCTATTTTATTATGTTTTTGTGTGACAGTTTTATATTAAATCCATTGGAGATGGATTGACCCTTTCCTTTTTCTATCTACTCATGCTCTGAAATATTAAATAATAACGGTGTTAATTAAGATCTAGGACATTACAGCAGCTGTTATAGTCAGTTTTCACAGTCCCTTCACATATAACAGTCTCTGGGGGACCAAGCCTCCGCTCCCGTGATTTTCTTGAGATAACACTCTTATCTCCTATATTTCGCGTCCCGGGAGGGTTCCGTGGTATTTTTCTTCCCCCCAATGAAGCCTCCGTCTCCACAAATATCTGTCGCTAAGGTCCTTATCGTGTGTTCTTGCCACGATAAGAGGCTCCGTGTTTTTCTGTCTCTGATACAACTGTTCTTCACAATCTATATCGTGGTTCTGATTTTCGTCTTTTCTATTCAAAATGGCCGTCTTTTTTCTATTTCTCAGAAACGTTCTTCTTCCGATCGAAATTTTTAAAAATAAAAATTCTAGAACATTCTGACCCTCCGTCGCAACACTTTTCTGTTCATAAGGCCTTTAGTCACTTTTTTTTCTGTCGCGGGAAGGTTATGCTGTGTCATCCGGCAGAATGGCACATACTCCCCGGACAAGTCTCCATCAATGTCCCTATTGATCGCACAACACCGGGTTATCGTCAAGTAGGTATCCAGTTTTCTGTAACCAATCTTACAAATCGCATAAGAAAATGAAATTTATCTACTCCACCTCAACTCACTACGTGTTCACAAATGGCATCGTACTACATCTCACTGCCTTTCAACATTTTCACAAAATTTGCACCATGAGGAGTGTCCTAGATAAAATTTCTTTTCTGACTACTTACGTCGTCTTGTTATACAACTTCTTTTCGCTCTTTGTGATTAAAAAGTGGGACGTGGCACGGCCACGCACCCGTTAAAATTAACTTTACTTCACTCACCAAGTATAATCAGTCATTTATGCGGTCCTTTCCATATTAAAACTAAGAAACTCTGTGGCTAGGAAAGTTATTGAGTTACCCACCCTTCTCGAGCGAGTTTACTCAAACTTACCATGTCGCCACACAGTGAATTTGTGTCTTACACAGGTTAAAAACTTCAGTCGGGAATAAATAGGTAAATATACTCACCTATGCTCCTTATATACATACATAGATAGTAGTAACTAAAATCAACAAAATCAACAATTTTAACAATTGCAACATTTTCAAAGTTTGGTCTGACCAAACTAAATCAAAACAAAAAGTTTAACAAGTTCAATAATCAAAACTTGGTTGATTTGTTCAAGTTTTTACACACAAAGACAATCAAGTTTTTTCTCCTTCTCTTCTCTCCTTCGGTCATCTTCATTCCATCATTTCTCCATCCCGATGTTGAGCGTCACTGTCTTCCAGAACTTTCTCTAACATGTCCAGAGAGTTGCGGGCCGTGCCCCAACCCTCCTGTTCCAACAGCCTCGGTTTGCAACAAGGTAGCAAGTCCACATTCACCTTCTGCTCCCGGTTCCTGCAAAAGCTGTTGTGAAGACATAGGCTCACGTTTCGTTCTAGGTCAGCTCTTAAGACCTCTTTCTTCTCATCTTCAGTAACACAAGGCGTTCCAGCTACCCGCTTCACCGCTGTGGTGACCGCGTTTCTGTGCGTCAAGAATGCTCGTTTATAGGCTCCTGGTCCTATATCTAGCTGGAAAGATTGATAGGCTTCCGTATTCCTTGACATGTGACGCTTCGCGAGTTCATACATCCAAGATGTCATCACTGCACGGAACCAAGGCATCAATCTTTGCCTTGACCATATTCTTTCAATGGCTTTAGGTATTCTCAGAACCTTGCAGGTGGTTCTGAAAAGATCCAATTCACTACTCATTTTCACGTTGCTCAGCTGTTCAGGAGTCGGCACGGCCGTCTCCTGCTCACTGGTGTCTGCATTAGCCTCCAACCATCTCACTGCTAGCATGGCGCTAACCACCACGATTGACACTTGTTGATTCTGATCGGGCAACCCCGTGGAGTACAACTCCTCCACGTCCCAGACTAGGATCAGATTCCCGCGTTTAGGGTACCACAACGTCTGCGCCAAGCAGTGGCAAGGATACTCCCCATGGGTTCTCACTATGTTCCTTCGGGTCCGATACCCTGAGGCTCCCAATAACGGTTCCACTTCCATCAGGATTCTATGTAAATCGTCTTTCTCTTCTATGGTGGGGAATTCAGTGGGTAACGCTCCACTCGCTTTCTGTTTCTGGAACTCACTCACGTTGCCTTCGTTCAGTCTCATGAACTCTTCACCCACAACGTCTTGCAACTCGCCTTCGGATCTCTTCGGGACTGCCCGAAAGATCTTTGCCAACAAGTCATATGACCTCTCTGACATTCTGGCCAACCTCACGCACTTTGGCACAGAGAAAAGTTGGTCAACCAACACTTGTTGCGTCCTCGCATCCATCACCACCATGTGCGTAGGATACTTGCTATTACAATATGGCGCTGAGCTTGAACCCACCATATATTTTGAACCAGTAGGTCTGTGATAGGCTTCACTATCCTTCAGATTCATTTCATTCTCTAGGGCTTCTCGCCAGCCTCCAATCTTTTGTTCTGTCTGTAATGCTCCAGGGAATATTTCCACGCTGAGGGACGTCACTAGCTCATGGGCACGCTCCAAGCGCTCGAGCGACTCCATCGAACTCGTCATGCTGCAAAATCCCAAGGCTGTGATCAGGTTTACGTCCGTCACCCCATGGCAGTCTGCGACCAACTCCATGGCACTCTTATCTGACATGCTCAATCTTCCGTACAATCGTGCCAGTTGTCGATGCTGCTCGCTTAGCGTAATCAGGCAGTGTCCCAGGTTACAAACATGTCCTTCCATCCCACTGTGTTGAGCCAAGCATGTGCCTTGCTTCAACCAATTACTCGATGTACCTTCCTCGGACAGCTCCGTGGACGGGTTGCTCTTCTTCTTCGTCAATCTCATGGCCAGCAGGTGTTGTATCATGGCCAGATCATGTAGACTCGCATCATCATCCCGGTCTAACATGATATCCGCGGTCATGTCCCAGATTAAGCCTGCGTTAGGATGGGGACACCAGGAAGGTTTCATGAGTTCCCACATCACTACTAGACTGGTTTTCAAGGGACCGTCCCAAGAACCACAATCAAAACTCACTTGCCCCTTTAGCTCGGGAATCGAGGGCTCGACTACTCGTTCTTCCAAAATAATTCCAAGCTTGGGTTGTTCCACCATCAACATTCCAATTTCCTTAATCCGTTCAACCCAGAAGTTGAGCACTGTGACTTGCTCGTAGTCGAAGTATGCTTCCCTGGCTTCTTCGTTCACGAAGGGATTATACGCCATCCCTGGTATACCAGACACGTATTGGAACGACTTCAGTTTCCCTAGTGTTGCAAACTCTTTTTGTCCTCTGGCCGCTTCAATCAAGTCTCTGCTCACTCTCAATTCTTTGTTGGAGTATCTTCTCACCTCTTCCAACTTGCGATAGCTTTCCATATCATTCGACTCCTTGCTTGGCACGGTCAATGGCATGTCCTGATATAGCTCTAGGAGTGCCCTAAGGAAGTTCCTTTCGCAATCAACTCCCTTTTGCCGAATGATCTTTATACATTCTCCCAACACAGGAGTGGGGATGCGATCCACCACGAACCTGACAAAGCAAAGGGCATCCTTACGCTTAGCCCATGCTATCGCTGAATCGTCTTTCGAAATCAATGCTCGTAGAGCTTCCATTAACTCTAGCTCCTGTTCTCGTGATTTCGAGTCATTACTGGCTTCATACTCCGCCTTTTTGATGCCCATCAAGCACCAAGCCAGTCGTATTTGCAGATCAGTTCTCACGCAAGGATGAGCCAGGTATGCTGCCACAGTAGCAGGTG